TTATTTTATTTTAACTGATTGATTAATTTTACAATTTTAAATGATTTATAATACGCTGGAGTTGGTAAGATGATTCAGCTGTATTTTTTTTATGCATGTATTGTTTATTTTGTGTAATTTACAGTTAAATTATGAAACTGAAAATTAAATGTAAACGAAAAATTGCTTGATTAAGTGAATGAATGAATAATAGCCTCACTGGATATCTTTTGAGATAGTGAACGTATCAGGTGCATAGAGAACCCTATCGTGAATGTTGTCTCATACCGGACGGGGTGTCGAAAATTGGTATTTGGGCACTCATACCGGACGGGATATGGAAACAGTCCATTTCACCCTCATACCGGACGGGGTATTGAGAGATGGTATTTTTGGCACTCATACCAGACGCGATATGGGGACAGCTGATTAGTTGACAATATTAAATAAGGGTTCACGCATAGTTGAGACATTCTTATGGACCCCCGTGGATACCAGTAGGCAGATAAAAAAAAAATTGTTTTTTTGGTTAATTGAATATGAGATTATGTGTTGTTTATGTTATTACCTCTATAGGTTGGTTTTGAAAATCTCGCTACGGTAAGTATACAATAAATAATTTTATTGATAATAAATAAATTTATTTGAATTAAGAGCTCTATAGTTATTTTTATAATATTTACCAACCTTCATTTCTATATCGGTGAGTAGTGTGACATTCTTACTGAATTACTGTAGCTCATTCTTTCATTAACTATTTCAGATCTAGATCTCAATCTATAAGAGGGTTGCAAATAGGATACCCAGTTATTTATCTTCCGTTTATTTCTTTAATTTTTCGTTTATTCTTTTAGAATGGTAATTCTCATAGCCCTATTGACTATTGTAAATTATTGTGTAAGGAATGTAAAACATAACTTTTTTATTTCGTTTCTGTATTCAATTTATAATTTATTTCCTTTTAAGTTTTGAACCGTTACATATTCATTCCTTGAGAATGAATCTTTAAGCTAATCCATTAAATCTTCTTCTTAAATATTACTTTATCTAATATTTTTAAAAGATTATTTGTAATATTCAAACCGCATCAAATATATATATATATAATATCCAAGAGGTAAATATATATATGTAATTAAATAACAAAAAAAAAAAGAAACAAAGAGATGAGAGATCAATAAGGGAGAGATGCGACTGTGAGAAGAGAGAGGGTCGAGTAGGATCGATAATCGAGAGAGAAGGGTCTCGCCACGTTGTGCGACATAGGAGCCAATAAAGAAAGGAAATGAGGCACGACAACCATGTCACATGCAGCAGTGGAGAGAGGAAGCAGCCACAAGGAAGAAGAAGAAAGAAAAGAAAAAAAGAAGGAGAAGAAGAGAGAGAATAATTATGTCGGGTAGAGAAAGAGTGATGCGGAACCCCAAGACCCTTACTTGAACCTTAAAACTCTTCAATCGGTTTAGAACGAAATTTAGATCATAAGTAAAAAAGAATCAAATTTGTTCAATCATCCAAATTGTAGAAGTTAAATAGAACCCAAAAAAGATAAATGATATCTCTTGAACCCAATCCAAACAAACATTAAGAACAATTGAAATAGAAAATCAAAATTTAAATACAAGTGATAACAATTGTATTTTAAATCAATACCTTATGCATAAAATGAAAAGAAAGTCAAAACACTCTCAACTCAATTCTGAAATATTTGATTACAACTCTTGATCTCCACAAAAAAGAGTTCCTTTGGTATTTATAGCCAAAGAAATCAATGATAAGTTATAACAATAACTACAATTGTAACTTCCACAATAACTAGGTTAATTATGTGATAATTACAATTGTAACTCCAATAATAACTAGGTTAATTATAGGCATGTAATTGTTATATAACTCCAATCTTCTTAACCAAAACCAATAATTGTTTGTGGCACCATATAGTTATGGGCTCATTCTTGTAATAACACTAAGATAAGACTTAAGCCCAAATGAGTTACACATGCCTATATGAGGCTTAATTAACTCAAACTAAAATAAAACAATCCAAATACTTAAAACAACTCAAGTAATCCAGTCCATACACAAGGCTTATTCACTCATTACCAATAAGACTCAAACAAGCCCAAATTATCCCAAATCATTTAAACCCAATTAAAGTTACGAATTTGGGCTGTTCAAAAAGTTCATATTTAAATTTTTCACAATTGGTTAGCTCATCATCCACATATTTTTGAGTGAAAACTTAGAGCAACTCTTTAACCTTCTTTGCCTTTGATCTTGTTACTGGTTCCCTGAAACTTTCTAGGTTTAAAACTCTATTTGTGTTTAGATAATTTGAAATATGATACAATTTACCTTTTAATGCTCTTTGATTATCTTGAGTGTTTTTAACCTTATTTGCATCAGAGAGAGAGAGAGAGAGATAAGAAGAAGAAATGAAAAAAAAAGGGAGAGAAGAAGAATAAGAAGAAGAAGAGAAAAAGAAAAAGAAGAAGGGGAGAGGGAAAAGCCACAGAGAAGAGGAAGGAAAAAGAAAAGAAAAAAAAAAGAATAGAAAAAAAGGAAAAAATGAAGAAAAAAAAAAGAAAGAAAAAAAAAGGGAAAAAAAGAAAAAAAGAAAAAAGAAGAATCAAAGAAAAAAATGATGAAAGAAAAGAAAAAAAATTAATTAAGAAAGAAAAATGGAGGAGTGGCGACCAAAATGATGTTGGTGGGCCGCATGTGACAACGCGCGCTAATTCAATCATTAGCACCTAACATTTTCAGTGACACGCATATGATGACACGTGTGGCGCATGTGACAGGGAACGCATGTCCAAATGTAAAATTCATTCCTAATTTTGCGTGATATAGTTACCAAAATTATTCATAATTTAATATATATATTTTCTATTATAAATAAAAAAAATTATCCAAATGGTATTCGAATTTCTGATAGGACCGTAGATCGAGTTAGAAAGAATTTTTAAAGCTTTCTTGATCACACCATAGGTAAGAAATATGTGTATTCTGTATGAAGACATAAATTATATATTTATATAAATATGTATATACATATTGCATTGTGTGTTAATGTTTAAATATATGTGTAATGTAATATATGTAATTAGTATGTCTAATTTATATTTGTTTGGATTTATATAGTGTATATATGTATGTTGTTATGCATGTGTGTGTATGTAAATAAAAATATACGATAAATGATATATGATTGATAAGAACATAACTGATAAGAGCAAATACGTAAATAAATATATATATGCTATGTTGTGTATGATTGTGTATACGTATTTAAATATAAACGTGTGTGTGTGTGTGTGTGAATATAAATATATATTTTATGTGAGACATGTAGTGATGCTACATGTCTGTATTATAATTTATGTGTGTGTATTAAAATGTGTGTGCATACGTTATGCATGTAAAATGTATAACCAGTGTATGTACGTATAAAATTTAGGTACACTGCACTAGCTGTGCGATCTTGTACAGATATACGACGTACTGTAATTGCTGTGTGATCTAGTACAGTTGTGCAAGGAATCTGAATATCCTGTGCTTGTTGTCGTTTGAGAAATGTATGGTTCTTATGTGCATGATGATATCGTATATTTTGTGCGTGTCTTTGTGTTTAATTATATAGAGAAATTATGATGATATCGAGTTTGTTCTCTCCATCCTATTATTGTATTTACTATTTTCATAGCATCCTTAATTGGTTTAGTAGAAAAATTGAATATTTATTAGCTCAAAAAATTGTTTGGAATTCATACATTAACCACTACCACATTAATGAATTAAGATACACATTCTTATTAGAATTGTAATTTTTTACAAATATATTTACTTACATAATTCTATTGGAAAATTGAGTAATAGAATAGAATTTGCAACAAAGTCAATTTATCTCCCTCTTGAGTTTCTTTAGCATCTGGGTCAACAAAGAAAACGAAATATTCAAACATTTTATTTTGCTTTAAAATGTTGAAATCCATTCACCATTCAAACAATTTATTTCTTCTCTCTCTCTCTCTCTCTCTTTCCTTTTTCTGCAAAGAAGAAATTTAGAGCCTCCCCAAACGACGCCGTTTTCGTGGAGGCTATCAACAAGGAAAGAAGAAAAAAAAGATTGCCTGGACCCAACCAATTTTTCCTTCTCTTTACCGATTTGGTCCTTCGTTATTTTTAAATATTTAAATTGCTAAAATTCAATTTTTGTTTTTTTTTGTTATTTTCATCCCTCTATTTTATTATAAAATATATTTCTTAATACTTATCATTTATAGATATCATTAATATTATTAAGAAATTTATTATGTAATAACATATGACTTTTTACGTTACATACAGCATGTATATAAATATTTTAATTTATAATTATTTTTAAGATAATAAAAAATTAAATAAATAAATAAATTCAGATGACCATCAGCATGATGCCGAAGCATTCTTGTTCGTGATAAAATATCCAAATTGTAGAGAATGCAAAGAAACAACATTCTTAGTCTCAACGTTAGAAGAATTTATTTTTTTTTTTATTTTTTATGTTATAAAACAATTAAAATTAAAATATCTTTAGCAGGTGAGATGGTAGCTTAAATTTGACCTAAAAATTTATTTAAGCAGAAATAATCATGTATTAGACATATATACATATTTTTCTAAAAAATAGTCACTAAAAAGATAAAATCAGCCAGGAATTTTCTTTTTGATTGGCAAATACAGTAAGTAAATTTTGTATAATCAACAATTGAGTTCTATGAATTGAATTTAAATGCAGTAAATTTGAAATAAAGATGAAGTAAGAGTCATGGATAAAGTGTCATGCCTGATTCATCCTAATTACTACCATTAAGTGATTCAAATGTAGAATTTGTTTATTTCAAAATGTGTCCTAAAATTATAAAACAAAAATTGAAAAATAACAAACATGTTTATGCAAATCCGACTAATGTTTCCATGTAGATAGATTTCTCAGAGGAAACCTATCTGTCCATCAGAAAATGAAAACCCAGATCACCCTACAGTTCGGTGTAAAATACAGAAGCAAATTTGTCCATTTCCTCCCTCGTCCTCGTCGGCACACCAATCTCAACTCCTCCATTTCCATCTCTACTTTCCATCAATGAAAAAGCTCCGGTCCTGTCTATAGAAGCAATCTCTGCTTTCTTAGGCTTTCCCCACCCGAAATCTACACCGTACTCCCCAAATCGGATTGACCCGGCTACAGAACCCATCTGCGTTCCTGCTTCTAATCTTACCAATTTTGACACTAAATTCGGCAGTCTTTTAGGAGCTTCAGTATCTAAACCTGAAACCAAATCACTTATGACCTTGGCAACTGTAACGAACCCATCCTTTCCCATTAAATCTCCTGCCCTACCAACACCCAGCAATGCTACAACGCAATTGCCGAAATAGTTCGATGGTAGTGGAGGATCTAAGCGGGTCTTGTAATCAGCTGTGAATCCAAAGTATATGTCTCTGTTATTATCTCCCCCTCTGGCTTTAACCATGCTAGTGAAAACATACGCATATGTCGTAACGAAGGTTGACAAGTGAAGTGGCTTCTTTACATCATCGTGTTGGACCAGTACCCTTTCTTTTAGTTTCTTGATATCCTCACGAGACAATTTGAACGTGGCTCGAACAAATTCAGGATCAATTTTTTGAAACGGCAAAGATTTCAGGTTTCTCTTGCTGGGATCTGACTCTACGCTGCCAATAGCTATCCACTGGTTCAGTATCGCCGTTCGCAGCCCGGTTGGGTCCTCGATAGCATTCCGGTCAAAGGAGGGAATTAGATCTGCTGGCAGAGAAGCGTTTTCTTTATCATGCTTGCTCATATAAGCCCATGCTTTAATGAAACTTGTTATGGTGTGGCCGTCGACAACTGCATGGTGCGTCGAAAATCCAAGGCTAAATCCTTGACCGGGAAACAGCGTTATTTGCAGTGAGATGATGGGCGATATGTGATCGCCTATAACCAGCTCGGGTAACAAACCATGCAATTCGGTAGCTTCATGAACTTCATCGGCAGTGACACGAGTGAAGTCTGCGGCGGACTCAGCGACGGTGAGAGAAACGGCGTCGTTTTTAACGCACGCGATGGTTGGCTCTGGATCACTTGCGTCCCACTTGAGGTTGCCGGCAAGGGGGAAGTAGTGAACAAGAGCGGCGGAGAGGGAGCGTTTTAGTCTGGGGAGGATATCTGAATAGAAAGATGCAGTGGTTAAGTCGGGGAGTTGATAAAGAAAAACGCGTTCTGTGGGCGGGAACTTAAACCAGAGGGTGTCAAAGAAGGTGAGGGGGAGAGAGAAGTGGGAGGGAGACGGAGAGGAAGGGCTGACTCTGGCAAACTCAGTGATTTTCACCGTCTTTTGAGGCTCCATTGCATCATAAGAAGAAATCTCTTCGGTCTGCCGCCTTTAAATAACGTATATGTATATATGTACATATATAAATATATATATTTCTTTCTCACTCAAAGATGGAAGACTGAGATTTCATAAGATTTTGTACATTTAAGAAATTAAACATAAATAGGGATGAGTTAGTGATAATTTTCAAGGTTGGCGTCAACCTGCAGATAGAAATGAGTGGCTGGAATTCTATTTTCTTTCAAAAATTTTGTTATTAAACCCGTGATACTACATGGCCAACCTCTATACCATATAAAGCAAATTTTACAATTAGCCTGCGTTAATTTAGGAATGATGAAGCAAGAAATAGTTGGAATGCACAGTATGGTTATGGAGAATTCCAATGGGGGCTGGTTAATTTTGTTTGATTTTGTTTGCATATTTGTGTGTACATTTTTCCAAATTATTCTTTTGTTTATATCTACATAATCGACTAAAATGGCAAAGTATCAAATATTACAAACTTATATAGGCAAGTTTTTTATTATAAAATAAAATAAATAATATAATTTTATCATTTAATTTGATTTACTTCTTTTTTTTAATATTCTAATTTATTTTCTCTTTTAATATCATGATTTTCTTTCTTTTTAATATCATGATTTCTTTATTTTTTTTAACACATTGATTTACTTTCTTTTTAATATAAAAATTTTCTTTCTCTTTAGTACTTTGATTTATTATCATCTTCAACATCATAATTTTTCTACTTTACTCTTGTTATTAATATGCATGAGGGTACGAGATTGTGTTTTTATTAACTTCTCTTTAATGTCATGATTTTTTTTTTTTTAATACATTGATTCACTTTCTTTTTAATACAATAATTTTCTTCCTCTTTAATACTTTGATTTTTTCATCTTTAATACCATAATTTTTTTTTTCAGTTTACTCTTATTAGTAAAATGCATAAGGGTATGGATTGTGTTTTTATTAACTAATAGTTCAACATATGACAGTGTAATATTTTATGTGCAAGGTATATATCACAAATAATGAAGTTGAGACCAAATCTTTTTGCTTATAGAATCATTATTATGAAAGAGCTGAGGGAGGGGCCGAAAAGAAAAGAACATGAAGGATAATTGAATTTTTTCTTTTATTATATATATATATATATTATACTTTTTACTCATCTAAAAATTTAAAAAAATATACATTTTCAGAAACTTAGATCAATAAGTATGTATTATGGTCAGTACAAATTTAAATAATTTATAAAATAAAGATTCATACTAATTCATTTTATGTCAGAAACCGTATTTTAATTATTGATATGAGAATTTTCAATTCTCTACTCCATCAATTGAGTTATCCTAACTATTCACGAAGTATCATCCTCATTTTACTTAATAACTAGAGTTTATGTCAACTGAAAGAAAACAAAAAATTAAATTAAAAGTCTAGAAGTAGGAATTTCTTGGATCTATGAAAAGAAAGATTTTGTATGTTTCAATATGAATAATGATATAGATTGTAAATCAGATATTCCTTGCTTGCTTATCCCAATTCAATTTTCTTTTCCTCTTTCAGCTTTTGTTTTTCTGGTATATTATCCTGCATAAGTTGTCAACTAAGCTAACATACACACACACACACACACACACACATCATATTAGTTCTTCATTCTTGATGCACTAGCTAACTTCATACTTTTTAATTAATTGCCAATATTTAGAATGATATTAGAGCTACGTAGGAAAGTTGTGTGATGGAAGTTTGGTTATCATCAGAAAACTATAAAGATCAGTAGTTATAACCTTACTCTTTTAGTTTTTTATGCCTGCAGCAAATCGAGGAAATTTTCTGATGACGGAACAAGAGTTTGAAGTGTAGAAAATGGAGATAAGCTTGGAATTTATACCTGCAACAAAATAACTTTAAGTTTCTTTGAACTGTGGATAAGAATTATGCCATTTTTGCTGTATTTAATGACTTTTTCTTAATCAGGCTTACTTTATAACTAAAATTTTTTATGAATAATTTTTTAGATAAAACATACTATTAGAGTTTACATATATATCCTAGCTATATTTACAAATTTTATACTCTTAAAATTTTGAAGGTATTAGAACAATAACATTTTTAATATAATAATATGAAGATTATGTTTAGAATTTTTTGCAAGGAGTATTAGGTTTTATAAATTCTTAAAAAATAATTTTTTCTATAGTTTAACGACTAATAAACCATTACTGTATTCATTTGATAAAAATATGATTGATTTGACGAAAATACAATTCCTAATATAATTCTTTGCGAATTATACCAACAGAAATATATAGTTTAGTAACATACTACTAATAATAACAATCACGGTATATATAACTTTAGACGTATATTATGACCAATTAGCGAATGATATGTGTATGAAATGATTTGACTTGTATTTTACAAATTTGATTCATAGTATGACACAATTAGATTTCGCTAAACCGTATTAATATACTCTATTTAGTACATGAATATGTATTCAAATATCATTTTTATAGGTGATAGATAAACATTTTTTTGTCCTACAAAAGTATGTGTTGAGTACGTGAAAAGTAAGAATTTCCATATGTAATATTATATGTTTTCAAAAAAAAAAATAAAATAAAATATTCTATTTAGTAGTTTTAAGTCGTTGGCAAATTTAATTATGTTGCCCTTCATGATAATCCCGAACGACTGTTAAAATACGTTAATTACTAGTAGCTTACATGTCATACTTTTTACCTGTCGTCAGTGTTTAAAGATCAAGAACCACTACATGGAACATACAACACGCTATTTTAACGACGTTATTAATTCTTGTTGACTAGAAGTCAAATCAAATTTGTTATAACACCTGGGCCCCGAAATTTGTCTTCGGATGATTTTTTCAATTTATAAAATATATATAAATAATTAATTTTTTATTTTAATTTGATTTTTGTTAAAATTTTGAGAAAAAATAAATTATAGATGAAATTAAAAACAATTCTGAGAAAAATAAGTGAAAGTGTAAATATGATATTTTTAAAAGAAAAATTGAAAATATAAGATAAAATAGCAAAGAAAAAAAGTTTGCCACATGGGACGGCCCAATCAGCAGCCATGGCAAACCAAAACATGCCCCGTGGGAGACATGCTGAGATCGGCTCTACGTGAGAGGCTATGCGGGCGATCTGCGTACCTGGGTGATCCGATGGTTCAGATCGCATCTCGCGCATATGAACAGCCCAGATGCATTCTTTATTTAAACACGATCGGATTGGCGACATCAATCGCAATGGACGGTCCAGATTCTTCCACACAATCGGCCTAAACGAAAAATAATCAAACGGTCATCCTCACTTCATGTCAACTCGAACGAGAGGCCTAGATCGAATGGAGAGTAGTATTTAAACTCCTCTTAGCAAGGAACCAAAACCCTAACTGACAAAGGGGTGACCGGAGAAGAAGAAGAATGGCGGTTGGATAAAAAATCAGACGTCGAGAAGGAGGTTGGCCACCGTCGCCACCGCACCAGAGCCACCGTCGCCGCCAAAAAAGGTATTTTTGTCCTTCCCGCTTGAAATTCAATCCTAAGTCTCTCTATGCTCATATCGGAGCCAAATGGTCGACGGGTGAGCTAAAAATCGCGGCCAAAGCTCGACTGAGCTACCGCGGCCAAAACCTAAAACCCTCTCTGATGACCCCCTTCTCATTTTTTCATTTCACATGATTTTTTTACCATCATGTTCTTTTTCCTTTTCTGGTGTAGGTTAGCCGAAAGAAAACTTTAGTCGCGAAGGAGGACTGGCAGAGCCACCGTACTCGGAAACCTTTCACCAATAGGATTTTGATTTTTTGTCTTTTTCAGCTAATTGAGGCCTCCTAACCTGGTTTTTCACAGGTTTATATATAAAATCAACCTAAACTGATTGAAACCAGCGAGGCCGAGGCAAACTGCCGTTGTGGACGGCAGAGCCAGCACTAGAGCACGACGACACTACCGTGTCGAAACTCTAAAATTGGTCGGAAAGACTTTAAAACGCCTATTTTGGCCTTTTGGAGTATTTTTGGATACGTGACAGGTGTTTTAATTTTCGCAGAAAAAATTCAGAAAATCCGAGAATCGCTAGGAGGCACAATGGAAAGTACAGCATTTCGAACACCGATCTGGGGTAAGAATCTCTCACCTTTTTTTTCTGTTACGGTAACTTGAAGCCTAATAGTCGATAATACTATGTTTTGTGAAAATTAAAAAATCTTAAAAATAATTACAAGTTACTAGTAGAGTTAGAACTTGTCAGTGCATATTTGCTCTAGTTTACTATTTATTTTCTCATGTGCTGCTTAAAATGTTTACTATTATACCGTGTGCATTAAATTGCCAGTTTTAATTATTTCCTCGATTATTTAGTTTACTTAACTGCATACCCCTCATTTGTTGATTTATTTTGTAATAAATAAATCAATCATGTTTCTTTATATATGTATCGCCTATTTGCATAATTTGCGGTTGATCTGTAAATATGAGATATTGGTATGTAAATAGTAATTGATTAATGGTGTAAATCTATGTATGAAATGCTTACTGGATACCTTAGGAAACGGTGGACGGACCTGATACATAAAAAACTCTACTGCATAACTTATCTCAGTTGGGCAGGCCTGAGAAGTTTCATACTGAAAGAGTTTGAAAAATATAGTTCATCCTCATACTGGACGGGGTATCGAGGCAATGGTGTTTCGCACACGCGTAAGAGAACATTCTTATGGACCCCTAGAGGTACTAATAAGTAGATAAAAAAAAAATTATTATTCTTGCTCACTTGTATATAAAATAATAAAATTATTTGAGTTATTGTCTTTATAAATCTATCTTGGAAAGTCCTAATGGTAAGTATGAAATTAACAGTTTTATGTTAAATGAATTTACTTAAATTAAGGGTTCCGTTAGTTATTTTATAATTTTTATTAACCTTCAATTTTTCGTATCGGTGATTAGTGTGATATTCTTA